TTGCTCTGTGACTTGAATATAATGGTAATACATGAGAGGCACAAACTCTGCACTGTCACATTGCACAAACATGTGAGACGCATCTAGGCTGCTCGTCAAAGCTCTAACTGACACAGACTGTGCTATTTAAAATCTGTCAAACTGTCTGGAAAACCGCAAAAATGCATCAGTTTTCAACAGTTTATACAATATGACCAAAGAATGGTGAAGATGAAAGGCCGTTCCTGGCCAGGGAGCGAAAGCAACACGCACCTGTTCTTATACTCTTGATGGGCTCATGTGTTGTGTCAGGCAGGCATGTACAGAGAGGTCTGACGAGACACTCTCACACTACCTGTTGGAGCAGTTTTTTGGCATTTGATTTGGTCCGAGCAGCAGGAATGACTGCGCTCTTGTAGGTGAGGTGCTCTCGATGAGGCTAGGAAGAATGGGCCACAGCTGTTCAGTTTTAAATGCCAAAGTATCCAATTGGCAAGGCTACGATGTGCAGAAGAGGACAAAACAGGGTCACTTTTTTTTTAGCCGCCAAAGATCAATGGGACATTGGACCCCTTGTGGCAATTATCTAAACAAAGTGATAAAGATCCATTGGATATGCTGTGTTCAATATTCATCACGGACATTCAGAAAGGGGTTCTTGCAAAGAGTACAGACAAACTGGTGCCATGAACAGCTATAAGAAAAGACATCAACATAATGGAACAATAAGAAGAACATCACCATAAAACAAAACAGGCCTGAATATGCATTCAAGTGTGTTTTTCTTTTTTCTGCAAGTTAAAACTAACCAAACTTTTGATTCCCAATCCCAACTGGATTTGTCATCCACTTACCGAACTTAATATCCCATCTGAGACCAAAGGACAGCCTACATACCCTGGATATTAAGCGACCTACATTTGAGCTAATTGCAAGTTCTGCACATTACATATGCGCACACAGGCCAACTGGATGGCAGGGCTGGCACTAAAAGCTCTAAAGCCCTGCTTGTTGGGAGTCAGGCCAGACCCCCTCACATCACCATGGAGATGGCCCTCCATTGTAGGGTGAGAATTAATGCACTTGAGGGGTCCTGGCACGTCCACAGTCCTGTTACAAGTGTGGGGACTCATTCATTCTCCCCTCACCACGGAGGAGAAACAGAAACACAAATTATACTTGTTTAAAATGGAGGAATCTATATATCCGTGTATCTAATGGTGTTAGAGTAATACAACCCTCTCTGTAAAGCGACAAGCTGTGCTGGTAATTACAGTGCTATGATGCACACACAATCACTGGGTATACTGGGAGAGGCTGCAGCCATTACATGAGTCAAAGTGCCACACACATCTGAGTAAAAAAGACTTTCTCCTTCACAAACTGACTCCTATCCTGTAACCTTGCAACAGGTGCAAAAACAAGGGTAACTTCCGTGAAACTTACCTGACACTAAAGTTTGTTTTTTTTCCTGTCGCCTACATTCAACCAACTGAATCCAAACAGGAAAGCAGGAGAGACGGGTTATAGGGTATTCACAGACGCTTCACCGTATCCCCGCGGTGCGGTTAATCATAATTCCCAGGATCGCCACCGGTGCTGGGGAAACCAGGTAGCAGCTGGAGGTTTGGGAGTGGCTGCAGGGCAGCTTTGGGGATTTAACTCCTTCCTTTCCTCACAAGACACCACCCAGCCGACACGACCTGTTTGTTACCTGTTCTCGCCTTACACCATTGGCTTGTAACACAACATTTGCAAGCGCTAAAACCACCCCTCCCTCTTTACTCCTCCAGCCTTGAAAAGCCCGAATCCCGCACCACAAGCCTCCAGGGCTTCCCAAACACATCACCAAAGTTCAGAAAAGTTCAAGCAGCATTTATAAAATACACACCCGGTAAAAGTGAATCCACGCCCGCAGAAACTTGAGCAAAACTGGAACCCCCTGAATCAGCTGCTTTTTACTGATGTATTCACCCATTCAAATGGCATGAAGGGGGACTGGCCGGCCATTCATATGCTGATGAGCTGGCACAGATACCGTGAACTCAACCAACACTGTATTCCAAGTCAGGACCTTCACTGCGAGGAAGTGTCAAGTGATTCAGTCTGTAGCTGAAATCTGATTAAAGGGAATCGTCCTAATCAGTTAGTGGGAAGTAAATGAGTAGATTTACTCAAGTTGTGTGCTTAAAGTTGAACTTGCACATCAAAGTATGTTTAAACTGGGGACTAATGTGTGGGGGAATAAAGTCATATTTTGGGGCTCCAGAGGGTGAGGTGCGCAATTGCCTCAAGTGATGTCACTAGAGTCAGCGTCAGTTGGAGTAAAGTTTTGAAAATTAAAACAAAAAAAGTGAGTTTACCATACCAGTAGCCCGCTCCTCGTCTCTGTTTGAGACTACCAGCTCGAGGCTACATGCATTGTGGGTAATGTAGGCGCCACATTTTGAGAAGGAAGAAGAAGTGTGGGATATAAAAGATATTTCTCCTGTTAATTGTGAGTCTGAAAATGTTGTTTTTTGACTGAATTTGAGGTACTTGTACACTGTACATACATTTATAAATACTCCACTACAATTCAGAGGGAAATATTGTACTTTTTTGTCTCTGCTACATTTGACAGCATTACTTTCAGATTAAGATGTTATAAATAAAACATATCATGCATTTTCAAACACAACAGTATAAAACGTGGTGTAATCGAGCTCCAACTTAACTAAAACAGTAATATAGATATAACGCTATTGCATCAGAGATAATTAATGATCCACTTATATAATATATAGGCCTAGTATAACACTAAAACTATAACATAATAATTTATTTTAAATATATAAGGTAGTTCAAATTGATTTCACTTTGACCAACCACAACATTAAAATACAGTATCCATTTATTAATAATAAATAATAATAATAATAATAATGTGAAAATATAATATTTATAATATATCCCTTATAATTATGATTAGTACTTATATTTTTGATGCTTTATGTATATTTTGCTGCTATAATAGTTCTGTTATGTTACCCAAATTCTGGATCTGAATAAAGGATGGTTGGTGAGAACTGCAAGTCAGCAGGTTTTTAAGTTTAAACAATTGGCATGTATTCCTCCCAGGACTGCTCCAAATGTCCACCCACTCCAAAATGCCCAGAACCCCACGGTTTAAACACAATAAACCCCTCTGCCTACAGTGTTTACACTTGATGAACTTCACCCTCTAGATAAATGAAAGTTATGAGATCTGGTTTGCAGGAAGTAAAATCACTGAAGTATTACATAAAGTTTAAGTGCGCTGAGATTTTACCGTGCTAACCAACACTGTATCATCAATGAAGGGCAGGAGTAACCTTTTTCTCATATGATCCCTTAAAGTGCAAACAAGCGATGTTTATTCTATATATCTAATTAATTAGGATCTGTTTGTTTCATTTTGGTATATATATAAGGGTGTTTTGCTGTTCATCAGTGTAAAAAAACATACAAATTAAATCTACTTTAATTCAATATTCAAAGACAACATGAACACTTCTTTAACCACTTTACTGTAGTAGAAAAAGAAGACCAAGTTTACCTTATCACATGATAAAAGTGCGCCCTCTCCTGGCTGTGAACTCATGCCACATTTTGATCTCATGCTTGAGTGAGACTACAGAATGATGAATGAAAACAATAAAAAAAAGTCATATTGAATGAAAACCTTACCTTGTCTATGGAAAGTGTGTCAGCAGAAGATGTCTCTTCTGCCGTTTGATTCAAATTCTGCTGCTCAAACATTAATGTGTCATTTAAATCAACAGGATCTGGCAGCTCAGAAATGTCAAATTCTGGTATGTTAAGCTGTGGTATGGTGTCATAAATAGGTGAATTAGGGGGTAAAGGGAAATCCATATCGTCATTGTGTAGAAGAGTCTGTGGCTGTTCTACTTTATCATCCTGCAGTGAGCTTTTTGACTGTTCGTCTCTGACCTTTGGCACCTGTGCGTACAGTTGCAAGCCATCAGTTTGCAGAGGTTTTGCCGAGTTAAATGAAAAACCTCCTGTTGAATTGCGTTTCTTTATATTATCCGGGCTGTGTGCAGAGCTGCTGGTGGTCTGCTCTTCCTTCTCACAGGGCTTCACATTTGGTATGTCCTCACAGAAGCCAAAAGTGGAGAAGCGGTACGTCTCCCTTGAAATATCCCGAGCTGATACTCGAATCACCGGTGTTACGTCAGCCATATCCGCTGGCTTCCTGTCAGTCACACACTCAGGTGGATCCAACTTATGAGGACCAGGCTCCAGCTCCTTCACATACTGCGCAGGGACATAAAAGGGTTTGGTGTGCTGGTCTTTGCGGACGTGCCACCAGTGCTCATTGGTCTTGGAGATCAGGATGTAACTTTCATTGGGCTTTATGGACACAAGGCGACCATCCGTCCCTGTATACTCAAAGTGATACTGCACTGACACTAGCTCCATGCTCCGGTGCACCCGTGCGGCCTTTGTGTTAATGTGGATACAGTCTTGACATCCTGGAGTTGGAAATAAAGGAAATGTGAAATTGAACAAATGTCAGTCAGTGGGTTACAGTTACTACACACACACTTCCACCTACAGAAACATGTTACCTCTTTTCACCTTGATTCCCACTGGCATGTTAATGTCATGGGAGTATTATGAGACAACGGGCCCCTGGGCACGGACATGTTAAACCCACCCATGCTTCAACTTAGCAGCAAGACACCCAGACTGAAAATAAATCTTTGTGGTCATTTTGTGTCTCTTTTTGGTTGTTTTGTGCCTCTTTATTGTCATTTTGTATCTCGTTATAGTCGTTTTGTGTCTTTTTGTCAACATTTTGTGTGTCTTTGTAGTTGTTTTGTTGTTCTTTTGTTGTCATTATTCGTCTCTTTTATTGATTTATGTCTCTTTGTAGTGATTTTGCATCTTTTTGTAGTCGCTTTGTGGTTGTTTTGCATCTCTCTTGTGATCATCCTGTGTTTGTAGTCATTATGTATCTCTTTGTCGTCATTTTGAGTGTCTCCATGATCGTTTCGTGTTCAGAGTTTTGCACTATCATAAGCTTTCTGATTTACAAGAAAGATTGCTGTAGGCTGGCAGAGGTAAAAAAAAACAAAAAAAAACTCTATTTCTGTGCACAGGAATAGACAGGAAGTTGTTTCCATTTGCTGCAAAACAAGTTCAACTCAAACTTAGTCTTAGACCACGAGAGCAGCAGACTGAAGACTGCTCAGCCACAAAACAGGAAGCCTGCAGCAACTGCGTCTCAGCGTCAGTCTGACGTCTCCTAGCAATCTCAGTTTGCCTTATCAGTCTATGTTTTATCCATTAATCACTCAGTATTTACAGCTGTCTGTTGTCTCCTATAGTAGGCCTACATGTAATAGAAACATTAAGAAATCTTAACATTTACATTAGTTTAACAGGTGTGAGGGAACTTATGAATGCTTATATCCTATGTGCATTGTAAAATTCAGAGAAAATGCAAAAAAAAGAAAGAAAATAGTAACAAACATAAAGGAAAATTACTGAAAAATCTACAAATCATTTCCAAGTTAAGTTTGACTCAGTGTCATGTTGATTTAGTTTGTTCTATATCATATTACAAAAGGTAGAGTAAGTAAGCAAGCGCTTAAATGAATTAGAATAAAATTTCAAGCTAAAAAACAGAGTCAAAAATAAGAGAACTAGCATACCCCGAGGCTTCAGTGTGGGATAATATTTCGTCTACTTGCCTGATTTTGTTTCCAATAATTTCCCGTCATTGGATGTTGCTCAGACGACCTTGAAGCAGTTTTGTATCTAAGGCGCCGGATTCGCAGAGCTCAAACTGCCGCATACAAGTATTGTTTCTGCTCGCCTACCGAGCTCTTATTTCCTGTTCTGTGTGAGGGTTTGTTTCTCTACCGAAAGAGGCGAGGTGATGCATTACAGCACAAAAGCCACAAGAAATGGGAAGTTTGACTTCAACCATAGTTCCCAATGTATTCTTGATATTCGTGCATTCTCTTTATGGCACCTCACTGACAGAGAGGGGGGAGGAGTGGAAAGAGTGGCAGGGTGGTGATTCATTTAGGCATCACCAACACAGCAACACTAAAACAGCAACAAACTTCTTGAATTAAAAAAAAACTTCATGTAGACATTAAAGCAGACATATACTCATTATTTGTGCTTATTTTAAGCAGCTGATAGGCACACAAAAGAGCACAAGGAAGTGTTTACAACTCAACAAGTCATATAATACCACAGACAAATGCAATCAACCTCTTTTTCATAGACAGAAACTTAATTTTTAAGGGTTTTAAATGGATTCACATCATTTTAATTCTCACCCAATCACTCGATAACAATGTGATGTTTCTCCACTCATTCATTCAGGTCTTACCTTTAACTGTCACCCATCTGAACGTTAGTCTGTGTGTCACTTTTCTTTGGATTTAGGGCAGTTTGTATAAAGAAATGTATTTTCTCAACTGGTGTAATTAATCTAAAAAGACATATTACACAGATAGATAGATAGATAGA